TAGGGCCCGAATAATAAGTAAAATTTCTTGGTTAATTTTTAAATACAATTAATTTTTTGCATTTTTTATAGAAGTACAATACTACTTGACTATTTCTAGCTAGATTTTGAAAAAAAAAACTTTTTCACTGATGCATACTAAATTAATTAATAAATTAGTATAATATAAATAATAGAATATGCTATTTAACCTTGACTTTTGTTGAGTGCCCAAAGTTACCTAATTTATTGGCTGATGTTTTTTGAAAGATTGGACATTACCCTTCATGTATTTGTTACCATCTTGCGCAACTTTGCGCAACTTTAAAAAAAAATATGTTTAAATGTAAGTATGTCCCTGGTACTTTGAGTAATAGATACTATAGGTCTTTATGATTTATTTAGATTAAGTTCGTGTGATTTTAATAAAATCTGAGACTCATGAATCGCATGTAATCAAGCACATAGTTAGGGGGTCCAAGGGTCCTAGACACTTAAGTCCCACCCCACCTCAAATCTACAAATTTTGTGGGTTTTAACTGAATTAATGCTTAGATCGAGGCTTAGATAATATACAATGTCCCCACTCCTTTTTTATCTTTATAATGGAACAACATGGAGATTTGAAGTAAGGCAATATGTTTAAAAATATTACGTTTTAGACTAAATTTGACAATCTAATCCAAAAATAGAAGGAGAAAAAAAAATTCCGACACCCAAAACCACCCTTCCCCCGAATTGGATATTAAAATTTTTGGACCCCCTCATCATCCGAAATTAATTTTTAGATGCTTGCCTGTAATAGGTACTCGAAAAATCTAGCCCATACTTTCTTGATTACGTGCCGACTACTCATTTTAAGACATGTGAGACCATGATTGAAAATAATTATTGGCTTGCAACGCAAAAGTGTAAAAGTTTTGCCATCCGGGTATTTTTTCTCACATTATATTGATGAGCTAATATGCTGGGTGTATACGTGAACTATAATTTAATTAACTAAAATTTTGAAGATTGACTAGCTAGAAATTCAATTAAGCGAAAACTGTTAAATTCTATATATTTTTGGTTGATGCCAACGATTCTTCAATCGGCCCCATCGTGCGCCATGTCCAAACTACTTCCATTTAAATCCCGAATAACTTATGAAAAGGAATACTAACATTTTCAAAATGCAATTAAAAAACGTGCGAGAAGAAATAAAGTTTTCAACCTATCCTCGCTGTTAAAGTATCATTTAATCTACCCTTGTGGTTAAACTACTATTTTATCTACTATTTTTGATAGATATAAGGCAATTTTAACAGTTGCTATGGAAAAAAGGTTATTCTTTCTTCGTCTGTTTTAGAAATTGACCCAAAACAAAATACGGTATTTACATACCGACACGAACAACATTATAAATAACGTTCTTTTCGAGGTTATAATCAAGCCCGGGCAGGCCGAACGCAACAGTGATCTATGCGAAATTACCAAATTCTGTTAATTCCCACCGAGTTAATTAAAACTATATGATAATGAAATAATTAACGCACCACGTCTAGCTCGGCTGTAATTTATAGATCCAATTAAAGTTTTTTTTTCCGCGTTGCCTAGAGACAGTGGTATGCGTGGCTATTTTACTCTTACGCATTAAAAAAGCTGTTGTTCTTTTATCTGTACCTACTACTGTTATGTAGGTAAAAAGTTAGGCAATTCAAATTGTTTTGTTGGTTAGTAGATATATATGTTTGTGATGTAATTGTTAGTTTGGCGATGACTGTTCCTCAATAGTGATTAACCTGCTCCTTCAATAATTTACATACTAGAATGAGCAGAAGTATACTCTGTTTTATGAATCATGGTAAATTTCTACAGACAATGACAGAAGAAAGGCAGATGATGTACATATCAATCCATTTATTTCACTAAAGAAAGTTTCTAATATTTTTTAAGTTAACTATGGGTTTATACAGGGCGTGCCTTAAATAATAATATAACGCTTTATTGTGCAAAAAGCCAAAATAGCTTCATCGACAAAGCATTTACAAAACAAACAAAACCACAAGAAATATACAAATAATAAAACATATACAATACAAATCATACAATTCAAAAAATTGAAGTCATTAAAATTACAAATAGAACATACTTGGACAATTGCAGAACACAAAAAAGGCGTATCAATAAAATTTTACAATAGGAAAATTGTAAATGGATGTAATTTTAAGAGTTATAAAATATTAAATACTCGACTTTTGACCAGTGTGTGAGATGATCAAAATTTTAAAATTCAAAATTGTTCATGATTAAACATAACAAAAAAGTCGTTCACCGTATATAGGGCTCTCTCCAGTAAGTATGATTTCAGAGATTTGCGAAATGGCGGGAAAGAATGAAAGCGACTTGATATTCAAAGGCAGATGATTGTACATTTTTTTGGCATTGTACAGTATTGAGTCTTTAACTAGTTCTGAGGTCGAGGTTGGCAGATAAAGATCGTGCTCCGCATACCTAAGTGGATAGTTGCTTGCGGATTAAGCAAACGGATTCAAAAATGAATAAAGAAGGAAGAGTCAGTATTTTGAAATTTTTAAAGAATTTCTGGCAGTCTAGTTCTACTGCTCAGTCCCAATAAATATCGAACTGCTCTCTTTTGAAGTTTGAAAATACGATCAAATTTTGTCGCGCAGCAACTACCCCAGAATGGAAGGGCATAACGGAGATGTGACTCAAAAAGGGCATAATAGGCTATTCTAGAGGTTGATAAGTTAGGTTCCTTAGAAACTGATCCTAGCGCAAAACAAGCAGCGCTTACTTTCTTTGATAAAGCTTCGATGTGCAATAAGTGCAAATATGTTTAGAAGTGGTATATTTCAATCTCAGAAATACGTCTATTAGTGTTTTTATTCGCGAAAAGAAATTGGAATTTTTTGAAAAAACCTTTCCTTTGAACCACCCTTCCTGTAGTTTCTCGTGATTTTTGCGAAAGTCAAAAGTTAAAGCACTAATGGCAAAACATAGACACCCAAAATCTCATTCAAATCGGAATAACGGTTCTTGAAGTATCTGAAAAATGTGTTTATTTTTTAAAGCTTGATTCCCTCTAGCGGGCATACAAAGCACTTTTGTATAGAGGTAAATTGTGTCCAATAAATTTATTCCAAAAAAAACGTAGTAGTTCACGGAATTTTGATAACACCCTGTATAGCAGCATTCGGTTCATTTGCTCCAAGTACCGACTCCAACCCAAACCAACTAGACTTAAAGAATTATTAAAATTAGAAAAAACACAGTTATTTTATTATTAGGACATAAAATTACTTAGACTCCTATGCAACAAACGTTTCCATTTAGGCTAACAAACTGCTCCGACTGAATTTCCCTTCGCACAATTACACGCATTCCATTCGCCTCTCCCCGATGCGCGGTGCATTCCGCCGGCACACACGGCGACGGCTCAGTTGAATAATGCAGTCCTGTTTGACCATTACCTATTGGTTTACTTGTGTCCGAGCGGCCGGCATTCGCCCGAGTGATTTACCGGCACACGCTCTCTCTCTGGCCGTTCCTCGTCCACACAGATCACTAAATGATTTAATCGCAAATCAGAAAATCTATTTGTAGCGTCGTGTTTGTGTCAGAGTAAGTGACGTCTTAATTGTTTATCGATCGGTGAAGTATGTATAGGAGTAATAGTCTAATATCATTAGATCAATATTAATCCACACTAAACCAATGAACAACAAACAAAAATGTAATATACAAAATACCGTGTGAATATGATATATATTATATTGGTGAAGCATCTAGACCGTTAAATGTTCGAATTAAAGGACATAAAGTTTCTTTAAAAAGGGCGATTTTCGCAAATCTAAGATTTGTCAGCGTTCATGAGACACGGAGCACAGAGTAGATACTAACAACGCAAAAATTATTATGAAAGAAGCGATAGATAAAAGAAACGAAAAATAAAAGAGTTTTTAATACAATCTAGTAAAAATAAATGTATTGTTCAGGCATCTGTAGAGGTTAGAAATGTATGGCTATCGCGTCTTTGATTTTAATATACATAACATAAGTAAAAATTAAAAACAAATAAAAAATTATCATATTCAGAAAGTTTGAGGCTTTTTGGTTTTACCTCATTAAGTAGTTGTAACTTAACTTGATATAGTGCCATTTTAACAGAACGTCAACTGTTTTTATAAACGTATCTGTTGAAAAAAAACTAAAGTGTTCTTGAATAGTTGTATTTAGATATTTTAAATAGTTTTTTTATTCGTTCTTTGTGAGTTTTCGCTTCCGACCTACGACGGGAAGAGATATAATATGTACCTACTGAAAACGTTAAGCAGTTAAGTTTTGTAGATTTTCCTATTATCCATTAAAGATATCCATTCTGCAAAATCCAAATATACCACAAAAGGAAAAAAATCCTTTATATTTTTCAATTCAATAATTCGTATATTTGAAAGCTTTGAAAAGTAAAAAAATCAATTTTCAACCAAAAATCAATCAGTTTTAGTGTTTATAGATTAAAAATATTCATATTTAGTAAAAAAAAAACGTGGTTACGCACAAGTCACAGAACAGCTATCTAGCAATTACCGCACCTGATCGTTCAACCTTGTAGCAAGTGAAAAAATGCGTAAACATCTAGAAATAATAAGAAAAAACAGCAAATTGGTCGAAGGAATTTATCCTTATCATTTACTCTGATAAATGTTTAAATAAACTTTTCAAATTTCAATCCTTCATATTTTCTCAATGACTCGACCGATTTTCAAAAACCAAGAGGGAAAGTATAGAGAATAAAAAGCCCTTTTCATTGCGGTACCACTTGACCCCCCTTCCCATTTGAAAAAAGCTGGGGGATGACACCCCCGCTTAGAGGGTTGAAGATTTTGCAATCATTTTTGGGGCAAAAGTTGTCCCCGTCACAAACAAAATTGACGTGTTTTTGGATTTAAAAAAAATATCCTGGCCGTTATGCCTTGCGGAACCATTTCGATGGGCCACCCTGTATATTATACACCAAAGCTATACAAATTCGTTCAAAATAGGATGTATAGGTTTTCTTAAACATCTAGCCAAAGCTATTAGAAATCCAATATTCAAAGCTACTATGATATTCGAAACAACAGCTGAAGAGGAGTGACTAGGAATGAGAAGTTTTTGCTCTACGTGCTCTTACAAAATAAAAAGAAACATTATAATATGTGAAAATAGTCCTTTTTTATCTTTCCAAAAAAATCCTTTATGGGTATTTCACCACTGCACTGCAATTATTCCTTTTTTATGTGGTCCCCACGTATTTTTTTAAATAATGTTTGATCACCGATTCACAATTGTTTCTATTATGTATATATTTTTAACTAACTCATGTAAGCTCATAAAAGTATAGAGAGATACAAAGACATTTTATTTTCTACAAAATTATGTAATTTAATAGAGGTGTTGTAACAGTTAAATTTCATCGCTACGACCTCTGTGTGCTAGCTCATAAATTATCGCAAATAACTGTCATTTTTGCATGTTTACTATAATTTTATTGTTAAATATTATTTTATTTAGTATTTTACCATTATGCAACCCGATATACACCGCTAGATTATACAGCTTCAGCTCCACTGTCACTGATGCCCACCAGCAGTAGGCTTTTTGTCCGTCTCTCTATATCTTTGATCATCACCTGTTCGTCACTTGTCACTGTCGGATCAAATCAGATGTTTTTAGATTTATTTATCCTTTGTTTTGGTTATTGAAATTTTATAATTATCAGATAAAATTTCGTAGTTAAATCCTTTATTTTTGATGTGGATCGCAGTGTGCAATTCGTTCATTTTAATTGTGGAATTTCTGAGTTTAGTTCGTTCATTGACCGGATATGAAATATGGCTGTTGAAAAATAATCTAGAACATCGTTTTTTTATTTATACCTTTTTGTGAGTTGGACTAGTCGAGAGATATAGTTCTCTATCTATATCCTGGAGGGAGATTTCCGGTTGAAATCTGATTTTGTGAAGGAAATTGAATCCTTGCATCACTTCTTGTGTACTCCCCGACCGAGAATATCGTCGTGAAGAACTGGCTGCTGTTTCGTGAAGCATTCCCTGTTGGTGAATAGCAGGTCTTCGTAAAGAAGGATTAAGGCTTCCGAAACACATTTGGTCAGAGACGTGGTTGGATTTTGTGGATTTTTATGGACCACCGACCAATTTCCGCAATGGGATTAAAATAGCCAAATTTTTCCGACCGATATTCCGATTCCACGTGCCCAAGAAGTCCCCGAACAGTTCCAAGGTATGCTATAATTCTTCTGCCTATTCTAAGTCAATGCTCAAATGATTTTTGTTCATATTGTTGTCTGGTTTTCGACATTTCCACGCCCACGTGGTGTAGAAAGATTAGCTGAGTGTTATCTTTCTTAAGTCTTTTTTGGTTGTTCGTAATTGTAGAGCAAGAAGACCGATCCAGGCCGTAAAGCACAGAACAGTCCAGAATTCCATCCGTTCCTGTTGTCCGTGTAGAGGTACCCGTTGGACATCATAAACCCTCGTTGAGGTAAAGTTCAGATTTGATTAGTCCTTCTTTATTACCTTTATTAACTCCTACACGTTGTGCTAGTTCTTGTTCTATAATTGAGGCTCTATTCTAAGACAACCAATATTATTTAGGGTTTTTATGTTCACCATTTGAAATATCAACACCTACCTTTCACCTGTACCTCTGCTAACATCCGTGGGCTCCAGTGACAGTACACCGAGCTGCTGTACACCGCCTTAGCAACCCTGTAGCTATACGCCGTAGCTCAGCCGGAGGAAGTTTTCAAGTATATCATATCGAGTAGAGTAAGACAGTTTAGATTAGTACAATATAGATTTCATTTGTGTAAACCACCTTGTTTGTATCTAGTATTAAGTTAGATAAGGGGGTTTTACGTCATAGGTTTAGTTATTGCATTTAATTTAAAATTCCATTTTGTTTTCCAACCTTTCGATTTAAATAATTTCTTAACATATTACATTTTACATTTCATTCGTTTTATTATTTAACTTTTTAATATTTTAATAAATTGCTTAAATATTTTTAGTAGTATTATTTACAGTCTAGTCTCATAGTTAAGTTAGAGTCACTTAAGTTTAACGAGTTATAGCATATTTGAAGTTCATGGTAGTTGCACTCAACAGTTCGAGGTTAGTGTTGAAGTCTACTTAATAGTTACATCTTTATTGCCGAGTTCATAGAGTATAATCTCGTGGCGCCCTTTTATTAATATCTTTGAACCCCGACCACCCGGCTGTTAAAATTAAAAAGCTAGTGGCCTCTATGTAACTCATTCTGCATTAAGTAAACTTGTGTTTTATTGAACTTCGAATTAGAAAGGGCGTGGCAGTGTCTACCAGACCACCCTGTCTTAACTTACTTATTACAGGTCTGTGTTAAAACACCTGTAATAAGTAAAGTAGCACTTCCACAAAAAACAAAATTCCTTTTAAATAATAGGAACAAAATAACCTTCACAACTTTCTCCTGCCGATACGGTAGAAACATTCAATTTGGCCGATTTGGTGCGATGAGCCGTGGGCCATTATGACTAGCCCCAATAAGGCCCCCAAGAACAGAAGACCGACGGGGTCGAGCTAGTTATGGCGGAAGCGGGGGCAGGAGGGGACAGGGTGGGTAGACGAGGGGGTAGTGTAGAGAATCGGACCCCGGTATTGATTTAAGAGCTCGGCTATGCCGCCTGGATCTCGTACTGGAAGTCCCGAAGAGGCAGAAGAACAGGGATGGGTAGTAGATGTCGTGAAATTTAATTATTTTACATCGAGTACTTATTATCGTCTAACAAGAATATTGTATTTTTACAAGACACACATTTCATGATACAAGAAAACACTTTTCATAATCCATTGATGTTTTGAAAAATGCTTTTTGGTTTTACCTTCTTAAGTAATTGTTATCAGGTAGTAATTGTTAATTTTGAAGTTTAACTTGATATAATGTCATTATTGTCATTTTAACAGAACGTCACCGGTTTTTGTAGACGTATCTGTTTTAAAAAAAGTGTTTTCGAATAGTTCAATTTAAAAATTTTAAATAGTTCTTTTCTTTATTCTTTGTATTTTTTTGCTTCCTACGACGGAAAGAGATAAACTTTCCGAAACGTTATCTATGCCCAGTTTTAAATGGAAATCATCACTAAGTTCACGTTTTTTAAACTAATGGTATTTCCACCTGGCAAGGCAGGCAAATTGGTCAAAATAATCTCCTTAGGAGTGTTGCTTCCTACAACAGTAACCACGTTTAAAATTTATTTATTTACTTATAGCTAGTACCTAATTATTTTCTTCCTGTTTAGACTATATTCAGTGTGTGTTAAAGTTATTAATTGTACTTCCTTAATTGTTAGTTTGTAGTTTTACTTGTTTAATAATACTTATGATCATAAAGTAAAATTTTATCACTAAAATATTAGAAAAAAAATTTTTTTTTTGCTTTTTCCATTAGATTAAAGTCTATTTTTATTTAAATTTGTTCAGAGACCCAACCTCCTGGATTTAGAAACAGGGAGGGGGGCAACAGTAAACATACCTTTTGGTGATGATGGTCGTTATTTATTATTAACAAAACTTCTTGCGCGCTTTTTACTTTGGTTGAAAAAGTTTTTCTTTAAATTTGTGTAGAGACCCCAATTGTACGTCAGCGATTTTAATTTTTATATTTTTTTGAAGTGGTATCGGCATTTAAAAAATTAAGTACTCAAAGTTTATATATTTTTTTTCTTGACATCTTGGCCCAGGCTAACTGTGCGTTAAGCATTTTTTTGATCATTAGGCAAATTTGTATCTGTAAACTTATCTTCTGAGATGTAATTTCCGTTCGGATTATCGCAGAAGTGTTACAAATATAACTAATAAAATAAGTTAGAAGTGTTAAAAAATAACTATTTTATTTTGTAGATTTTCTTACAGTGGCGAAATACCCATATATTGTAACGCGACTAATGTGGAACCGATATTCCCATCACTACAAAGAGCCACATATTTTCTAGGCTATGGTACTGATATAATGCTTCCTTCCTCTGCTGAGAAAACCTGCACATGACTTCGTACATCAATCCTATCAGCTTATAACTATAAAATATATAACAATTTTTATTTTACCAATCAAATTACTTTAGTAAAATATAATCCAGTAATTTACACTACGGACCCAACCTTGTAAATACAAGATAGACGGATACGCTGTGGAGGGGGCAACGACGTATTATATATGGCGTCGTAGACGAGCTATCCAGGCCGTGACAAAGAGGAAGGCTAGGGGAGTAGGAGGGTGACGGGATAGAAGCGCCCTAGGGACTTCGGGTGACGAGAATGAGACAGCTGCGTTTTTGTTACGAAAGAGACGAAAAAAACGAAGTGAAAGAAAATCTAGGTGTTGGAGTCTAGTTTTAATCTTTGTAGAGAAATGTTTGGTTTGGACGTTCCATGTAGGTGATAAACCTTGATTAATCTATTATATTTTGAGACCTACATGTTTAGAAGACTATAGTAAATACAATTCCATGAAAAACATAGAATGTAAAAAATACCGAGTCTCGCAACGCAATTTTTCCACTACAAAACACAAAACATTTGATTAGGAAGTCAAACTTCTCAAACAGCTACTAAATTGAAGGATTTCAAGGACATGTTTGAAAAAATGACATTCAGGGTGTTTCAGAACAAATGCGAAAAACTTCAGGGGGTGATTCCTTGTTCAAAATAAAGGGTAGTTTGCTTCATAAACGTTGGGTCAAAAGTCAACCATTAGGGAGATATTACGGTACAAAGATGGCGGAAAAATAATGTTTTTATTTTTTATCTTGAAAACGAAAAGAGATAGACTAATAAAATTTTATGGAAGCATTACTGTTATGAAAACACACTTTCTGGTAATTTTTTCACTTTTTTAAAATGAGTGGAAGGGGTTGAAATAAACTACCCCTATCATTCTTGTTAACGAAATTTAAAGAAAAATCTTATCAAACACATACAAAAAAATTAATTTGGATAGTTTAGCTTGTTTAGAAACTTTTTTATCTCTTGTATTTTTTTGATAAAACTCACCGTTTTGAAATTAAAAAATAAAATGTAAAGCATTACATGCCAGGACAAAAAACATTTTCTGATAAAGAATCTGGTGGGCTGCTGTAATTTTTTAGGAAAAAATCTAGTCGGCCGCTGTTACTTTTTAGGATGTCCCTAATATTATTTTATTTGACATTACTCTACTGCAATACGTTATTATCTAGATGATTATTATTATCGTTATTATCACTAGATTCTTAATCTAAGAATGTTTTTTGTCCTGACATGTAATGCTTTACATTTTATTTTTTAATTTCCAATCGGTGAGTTTTATCAAAAAAAAACACAAGAGGTAAAAAAGTTTCTAAACAAACTAAACTATCCAAATTAAAGTATTTGCATGTGTTTGATAAGAGTTTTCTTTAAATTTCGTTAACAAGAATGATAGGGGTAGTTTATTTCAAGCCCTTCCATTCATTTTAAAAAAGTAAACAAATTACCTGAAAGTGTGTTTTCATAACAGTAATGCTTCCATAAAATTTCATTAGTCTATCTATATCTATTTCAAGATAAATAATAAAAACATTATTTTTCCGCCATCTTTGTACCGCGATATCTTCCTAATGGTTGACTTTTGACCCAACGTTTATAAAGCAAACTACCCTTTATTTTGAACAACGAATCACCCCCTAAAGTTTTTCGCATTTGTTTTGAAACACCCTGTATAATACTGTTTTAATATAAATATTATTTTCAATTTATCTCTGTAATCTGTATATTTTCTGTTTCCTCAATAGCCTGCAAATTTTATGCAGATGCCTAATAATGTTAACGCCCCTTAAAATTTATTTAAGAGGAGAAGAAATTTTGAACCTAACCAACAATTCGTGTGGTCTGTTTTTGTTTACATGTTATGTTCAATATTTATAGTGATTTACAGTAATTTTGTAAAAATATACGAATATTCTCGTTGATTATTGGTTTGAAATAAATATGATAAAGTCCTCCAATGAAAATGCGAGTTGCTTAATTCTAATAATTCTAATTCTGAGCTAGATGCTTTAACCCATTAAGGCCCAAATGCAAATTAATAATAAAATACCCAATTTTATTAGAAAAAGTAACTCAGTTGGGTGTAAGTAATAGTTAGAAATATAAAAAAATGGCAATCTGGGCTTTTAGGAATGCAATATGGCGCCGTACTCAAATAAGTACACTGGGCTAATGGGTGTATAAAAATACTACTCCTTTAATACTACAAAACTATATCTATTTAAAGTATTTTTAACAAAATAAGTGAAAATATACTAGTTATTTTTGTTATACCTATACAAATAAAAAACTTAGGTCATAAATAAAATATTTTTAAGTATGATATTTCTCAAAACACTCTCTTTCTACGCAAAGTGTAACAATGCACTTTTTACAACGCCATCTAATACGCAAATGGCACACGCTACATCTAAGCTGTTTCTCAATCTTCTCTGGGAAGTGACCAACATTGTCATATCTCACAGCACCAGGAACTTGACATGGTCGATTAGTTTTACGAGTTTTATTGTTCAAGCGGAGATAATACCGAGCAACATATCTTGTAAAGTCAAGAAGGCTAATTTTTTCTTCCGGCGAGGCACAAATTTGATGTAACTTCCAGGAATTTGTCATGGTTACATTGACCATATGAGTGAATAAACACCACCACCATTTCTTGCCCCTTATGCTTATTCTGTAAGTATTTGTTGCCTGGTCATTCAAGTCAACGCCGCCCATTCCAGCATTATAATTTTGAAAAACCAAAGGTTGTTGGACCGTAGTTATCTCCTTTTTGGCTCGCGACCATCGCTTGACGTAGTTGAGAGGTTCAATAAAATCGTGATTACTAGCCATTGAGCAAACACTATTGTCTTTCCATTTCACAATCAGTAAGTTATTCTCACAGTTAAATCTATAGTCGTATGTGCCCCTTTCCTCTTTGTCCATCATTTTAGAAGACTGAATGTTACAATTCTTCTGCCGATTTTCACGAATAGTGCCTGTAGCACGTATACCTTTAGCTGTCAATTGGTTCATGAGACGAAGAGTGGTAAAAAAATTGTCAAAGTACACTATGTGGTCAGCTGGGTTGTCTAGATGTTCTAGCAATGAAATTACCACATCAGCACCAAGACCAAGTGATTGCCCCTTCTTCTCACTGTTTTTGCCACAATAGGTGTCAAACGCGTAGCAATACCCGGTTGAACTGCACAACATCCAATCCTTGAATCCGAAGCGGACTGGTTTTCCGCGGATAAATTGTTTGGCGGAGTGGTGCCCAAAATATTTCACCATTGCTTCATCCACGCTCAGAGATTTATGAAAAAATCCCCACTGTCTAAAATTTTTGTTCAAAATGTCCATAAGGGGCCGTAACTTGAACATTTTATCATTTTTATTTATTTTATCATTATCTGCAAAATGTAGGTATCTTTTTATTTCTAGAAATCTATTGCGTGAGATAGATCCCGAAACAATTTTGACACCTAAATCTTCATCTAAAGACCAATACATCCTCTGTTGTGGCAATTTGTGATACCCAGAGAGCAACAAAATTCCAATGAAAATTTTCATTTCTTCCATGGTAGCAAAAAAATCATGATTATTTTTCTGTCGAGAGTAAATAATTGATTGCTCTATCATAAGTTGGAACACATTATCGTCAAACAGTTTCTCAAAAATTTGCACTGGATTATAGCCACGTAAACTTTCCTTTACTTTTTCTAAACGATCATTAGCGCCATTTTCTGTGTCACGTGAGAAAACATAAACCGGCTCAATTTTCTCCCATACAGGATTTCTCTCTTCGGCACGAGGACGCTTGCTGACAAATATTGATAATGGCTCGTCGTCACTGTCACTCCATTCGTCTGTATTGCCAAAATTTACTTCAATATATCCGGGCACATCGTTTGGAATATGGCTTTCCATAATATTATCATCATCAAACTCTTCTTGATCGGTGAGAACATCCGGTTCTGGTGGCAGGACTATTACATCAGCCTCGTCTTCGTGACTCTCAATTGCATCCGCAGCTTCTTGCAATGTAGAAAATATTTTTCGACCATAAAAACTTGTGGTCGTTATTGGTTGAAAGTCGTCATCCATTTCTGAAACAAAACGTAGCTTGAAATTAAAAATTCATACTTGAGCCCACTGTACTCATTTGAGTACATCCGTGTTTGGCGCTGATTCACGTTTCAGGAAATGAGGTTATGAATCTATGGCTAATTTTTACCACTTGTTTAATACATATAAAATAGATATTTGGCGTAATTTGTCAATAATTATACAAATAGCCTCCTAAATATATTATATTCACTTTACTTACCAGGTTCAAAAAATAAGTCATATTTTAAAACTGTAACTAATCTTTTCAAAACACACCAATACCTGTCAACTATCAGTAAACACTGCCCAGAGATTAATAAAATATGGCGCGATAGCTAACAACTTAATATATTGCCCATCAGATGGCAGAGTTTGTCCAAAATAACTGTACTCATTTGAGTACGGCGGGCGTTAATGGGTTAACTAGACCGTTATTCAGAAGCTACAAACCTATCCATTAATAAATTTACTTCCTAGCAAACAACCAGAGGACATTGGTATACAGGTACAGAATCAAGTTTATTATAATGATTTTTTAGCTTTAAATCAAATGTTTTTTGGTGTTTGTGCCACTTTTCATCTCGGTAGCTCGTGTGTCACGGCCTTGAATTTTAACTGCCAGCTCGCGTAAAGAAGATTCGCTTCAAAAAGTTGTGAGATTTCCTGTAAAACCAAGTCAAGTTTTTTTATTCAGTTTTTATTGAAGCATCTATTCAAAAATTTTGTTATAAATTGTTAGTAACAATATTAGAGATTTTTATTTCTGTTATAATAGTTATAATGACTTGACTGAATGACCATAAATAGCTGATGTTGATAATAATAAATAATGATAAAAGACAAAAATAATAGTTTATGGTTCAAAATCGTTTGATATACCCCCAAAATGAGAAAATTGAAAATGAAGTAGGACTGTTGTACGCGGATGGATATAGAGAAAATGAGAAGAAGGGTAGCAGGAAGAGGATCCAGCAACCGACGAGCACAGATTTTAAATTTAGATAAAACCCTGCCAAAATTTCGTTTCCTTTTCGGTTGGGTGAGTTATGGCTTCGCGTCCTGGCTGACGCAAACTTCTCGGATTAATTCATCTCTTTCAGATTAACTCGCGCGCAGATCCGATGGAAGTGAAATTTGAAGTAGAGTAGGAGAAGAAGAATCTTTACATTGAGATACACTCGTATAAGTAAGATGTCAAACAATAGAAGAAGAGTATGTATCGGGTGGCCAACTAAAAATGGACGCCGGCTGTATCTCAGAAACTTCTTATCGTATAACTTTGTGAAAAAAATTCTAACTAGTAAATCGACCAAGAGAAATCGCTGGAAATTATTTTCAAGTTCGAAAAATGTCCGCTAGGGGGCGTTTCTCTGAGAGCCAATCGAAAAACAGGGTTTTTCTAAAAAATATGCACTTGAACAGGTATTTTAAGTATTACTATTGTAATCATCGAGAAATTTGTAATTTTTTTGATATAGAGTATTTTCCTCTATCTCATAAAATAAAGTGGTGGGGGAAGGTTAAACTTACTTTTATTAAAATATGGATAACTCTGGTTTCGGTTAGCCGATTTAAACAAACTAGGGCTCGTTTAAAAGAGCTTTTCTTTCTTAATGATCTCCACTGTAAATTTTGTTTCCATCATTTTTTTCGTGGTAGCTAGAGGGCGCTGTTTGACATCATAACAGATTTTGCGCTTTTGCATAAGAAATTTAAATAGGAGGCTATATTTCTCTTTAGACAGTTAAATAGAGAACAAAATTTCCAAAAAATTAGCGCAAACCGCAACTTTCTATCTTCTCTCTAACCGGAGATATTAAGAGAACAAATCATGTTAGGCTGCCGCTTAGGAATATATTATGTTCTAAAAATTATAGTAGTAGGCTAGGAAACAAAATTGGTTACGTCAAAATATCAAAACGTTTAAGTTTGGACGTTTTCTTAAAAAAAATGACGTCATAAATTTTTGAACGTGTCTATGTAACATTATCGTCCATCGTATTCTTTCTAAAATAAAGGAGAATAGCTTCTAACCTCAAACGTATTCTTGCTTTGAGAATATCCTCGAGAATATCTAATCTTTCATTAAATAATATCGGGCTTGCCAATTTGAAAATTCAAGTTAAATTTGCCAAACGCATAATTCAATACTACATCATTTTGGAGCAAGCGATTTCATTTCTCGAAATGATGTAGCTATATTTTCAAGACAAAAATGTATTTAAGCAATTCTGATCAAGAATTGCATATTCTACATTTAAAAAGATATTTACTTGAATATATACAATTCTAATATATGCTCAATTTAAAATTAATAACATTAAACTAAGTATTTTAATACTCTAAGAGATTTCGCTGATTATCTTTGTTAGATACTATTCTTCCTTAAAAGTAAAAATATCTCTTGAAAACAAACGTCCCCCGTAGCTCGAATTAAGCCATGTTCGCGAATTTCTAACAAACAAGCCCGCTTCGATATCCACCTAACTCCCCAATTTTTCAACAATGACACCAATAAATCCGTGCTGTTTTCCGAAAATCCATAGCCGATTTTTCTCGAAATTACCAAACAAAAACATGTAAACGTCGCATCGATTCGAATCAAACTCCCGAACGGAGGAAGTGCCTCTATCCTACGATCTTCCCCTTCAGCCCCCCTTGCTTTAACAGGAAGTTGGCAGGAGTCCGTGTTTCCAACCTCCTTCCCCCCACGGTTCTGGCGGAATTAAATTAAAATTGATCCGCCCCGATCTGATAAACAACGTAAAAGGAATTTGCGCCAACGACATAAATCGATCGTCTTTGTCGTCCCAGGCCGTGTTTCTTATTGGCATCTTTTTGAGCACGAGAAAAATATATGACCACGTGCATTCACGGTGTCGTTGATATACTCCTATATTGATACTTGATCTAGGACACAGAAATACATATATCGATCAACATAAAATATACAGAATGTATGGAAAGGGGTTAATTCATCGCGACCTTACAGAACTACAGTAAAACTTCACTAAAGGTTGATTCTTACTATACCTTCCATATCAGCCCCCTTCCGTTTCTCTTCCGTTTACATAAAATATTATATCATGTTAGCTGTTATTTTATGTACTAATCTAAAAGTTAATAAAGTTTATTATTATTATTATTATTATTATTATGTCGTACACGAACAACGCATGTGCGGAGTCAATTTTAGAAAAAAAAACTCTACTTAGCATTTTTTATGTAATGTAACTATATTTTGGTGATCTGGTGGCTATTAAATGCGTCCAAAATATATTGTAAAAAATAAAATATAAGAAAAAAAAAATGTAAATGAATAGGACAATGCACACTATCCGTTCCGTTTCCCTTCCGTTCCATATCTTTTCCTTCCATACATTATTTTTGGCGGACGAACTGAAGCGTATTGGAAAGAGCGTTCTCAAGTTCTTACATTTGTACCAGCTCTGTTAAAATTTTGCTGATATTTATTTATTCTTTCACCTCTTAATTAAATCTATTACCTTTTTCAAAAGATATAAATTTTTAAAACTAAACTTTCGTAATGATATATATATAAAAAATGCGGAACGGATATGGAATGGAAACAAAAGGGTGCAAAGGGTATAGTGAGAATCAATCTTTATTTGGATACCAACAAAATTTAAATGCCAATGAATGAAAGTCCGCATTTTCTTGGACGGTGGAAGGTTAGATACAGTATGTAGTCTATTCTTTGTAGTACAGGAGTCATGAGTAGGGGAAGCCGGGGGAATTCCGCGCACATAAGCAAAATAGCTCCGAGATTGATGTTAATTTTTTTTATGAGGTAATTTTTTGTATGAGAAGTATTGCTACAATATACAAACTATCGCAACATCGAAAATTAAACAATTTTGTTTTATTGTACTTATTAACACAAAAAAATAAAAATGTGTGACTGCGCAGTATTACCCGGGCTTTTGGGTAATACCGCGCATGGTCTGGGGGAATGGCACGCATTGAGGCAGTTTAACTAAGACTTTATTGTACATAAAATACAGGTATATAGATAACACAAATAATAAAAAAGATGATATTGAGAACAAAGGTAAAAATACATTATTGTATATTAACATAAAAAACACATTTATATCACAAAGGTAGATTTTTCCTTGCTCCTTTCCACAACAAGTAGCATGGGCCCACTTTGAGCAGGAATTATAGCGATACCAGACCTCGTTGTCCCTACCAAACTCTCCGCAAATTAAACAGATGTCATCTTCATGGGTTGGGAAAGGATCAACTTCGTCTATGTCATCATCAACACAAAGCTCGCTTTCAGAATAACTCTCAGGTTCAGTATCATCGTCATCAAACTTAATATTGCGAATGTGCTTTGGCTTCTTGTTGATTTTTTTACTTTCTAAAGTTGTTGAGAGTTTTCTTTTTTTCAACACAATATTTGCTTCTCTTTTCTGCCTTTTATCTATTCTCTTTTCCTTCAAATTTACATTACTTTTCTTTTTTCTCTCTTCTTTTTTCTTCCATAGTTTCCAATTCTGATTTAAGTGCATCCGCTGACCATTTGCCTTTCTCTGATGCCCTTTGGTATGTTCTGGGCATCATGAACCAAAAGAAACAAGCAATAAAAAAATAAACAAGAAGAGTGTACATTAGGTGTAATACCGCGCAGCGCGTTATTGTTTGTTTTGTTTTTCCGCGGTATTTCCCCGGGAGCCGCTTTTTTACCTAAAAATTTATTTTAGCAAAAGTACTTACATTTTAATGGTGATCGTTTATGATAACACTTATAGTTGCACTGGTAAGTAGAAATAAAATCAAGCTGCTTTTAATAATCACAGGAACTACTAATTATCAACCGATTAAATTGCCGAAAAGATAGATAAAAAACAGAGCTAGCACTAAAATATTCGTTATTGGTTAACGACTGCCGGCAGTTATTACAAAGTTTTGGAGCAAACTTCATATTGCTTATGCAACACTTCCAGCCTCACACCTGTGTATTACTAGTTGTAGTTTTTTCTACAGCGGCGTGCGCGGTATTCCCCCGTGCGCGAGATTCTCCCGGTTTCCCCTATCGTATATTGAAATTAAAAAAAATAGAGCATCTAGACGACTCTGAAAAAATACAAGATTTTATTGCGTTGGCAAGGAAGGAATGATACGTAACATTCCATTTTTTGCTGTTCCAAAATTTAATATTTCAGATTTAAAAAAATCAGACATAAAAAGAACAAAGAAATCATATCTACCAAGAACAAATATTAAAACCTGACCCATAAAGTTATACAGGGTGGGGCAAAATTAATGCTGAACATTGGTATAACCTGTATAACTCCTTTAATACCCACCCTGTATAACTCCTTTAGTTTAATTGAATCACCCAGAATATTATTCCGATATTCAATGGGAAATTCATGTCACTTCCAAATACTATTAAGGTTGCCGGCCTACCCCTCAACCAAAGATTTTCCTAGATATTTTCATTTCTATGATTTAGTGTGAATAGATCTGTATTATTTGATAAAATCTAGGGTGGCTGTGATATGTCTGACGTTACTTCAACATAGCTGTCAAATTAGTTCAACTTTAGCAACTAGTTATCATTTTGTGTCGTCAGTTGAAAAAAAAATCAAACCATGCACAAAATAAAAATAATACTGTAAATGAACTTAAGGAGAAGAATTTGTCTCTGCTCTGACTGAAGAGTATAATAAGGTAGAGACAAATTGAAGAGATAATACTAGGCATTGGAAACAAGGATTTAAGTGAAACAGAAAATAATAATGTTGTATTGAAAATAAAACTTAAAATTGCTATAAATCTTTATCAAAAAGCATTTACTTGGTAGAAAAAAACGATGTTTCTACGCAAGATTTTGTTGGCTGTTGAGGCAGCAAAATCGATAAGTATCTATGCAGGTAACAAATCAAAAATTAATTTTTTTAAACCAATCAATTCAATTCAATTTAAATATTAATTTCACATATCTGTTGACATTTTAGTGTAAGTATTTAATGTGTGTTAAGGTACGCAGTTATTTAATATGAATATTGTAGTAATAATAGTTTTAATAAATAGATGACGATACAGCTTCATAAATTCTCTCAAGTAAGCCGAGAATTAAGTATGATTATCTCTACAGAAAAAAAAACTAAATCCTTAACTTTCTTAAAAAAGAAGCCGGTAAGATGCAAACTGGTAGTAGAAAACAAAATTGTCGAGCAAGTATCACAGTTCAGATACCTAGGAATAGATATGTCGCACTACCATGATTCAGAGAAAGATCTGAGAAGCCAGATAAACAAAGCAACGGCCATGTCAGGATGTCTGAGGCAAACAGTGTGGACTAACCCCTTTATGCGAACAGACAGCAAAATTAAAATTTATAAGATCTGCATCAGACCAATAATGACATATGGCATAGAAATCCGAGAGGAAAGAAACAAGACCAAAAGCATGTTAAGAGTCGCTGAAATGAATAACCTAAGAATCATAATGGGGAAGACTAGAAGAGACAGAATTATACACACACATATCAGAGAACAATGTGGAATACAGGACGTAGTGAGATGGGGTAGGCAAAGAAAAAGACAGTGGTTCGCACATGTAAAACGCATGGAAGAAAAACTTCTACCACGCATAGCTCTTGAAGAGAGACCCATGTAAAAGATGGAAAAAAATGGAAAGACAGTTGGCAGTCCATCTCCCAAGAACTCCTACAGAGGCAACTTTAAAATTAACAGATCGACTAGATGTTAAATAAGTAAAAAAAGAAGAAGAAATAGATAGATAGTATTGGCCTCTATGTATTAAAGGCTCCTTATTACGCTCTGAATTTTAAACAATTTTACCGACGAATAAAAAAATTAAGCTCCTTATAGACCTATAGGAAGAAACCTCGCGAAGTAAAGACAAAGAAGAGCTAGCTTCATAGGATAGAGTGAAACAGAAACAGAACGACGCGGAGGAAACGAGTTGATGAGAAAGGACAGCTGGGCAGTTCGAAAATATAATAACAGGATGGGAATTTTTAGGCACGAACAGAACGCAGTGCCTTGCGTGTGAACTTGAACCGATGTCACGACTCTACGTCCGTTCTTTGGCGTATAAAACATGAGAAATAGATTGGTTATATTAGTTGTTTCAAGGAAATATTATATAAATATTTAGGGTGTTTAAGCCAGGCTAGGTTTGAGGTAAAATTGTTTTAATCTTTTTTCCATAGCAACTGTTAAAATTGCCTTATATCTATCAAAAATAGTAGATAAAAGAGTACTTTAACCGCAAGAGTAGATGAAATAATACTTTAAAAGCGAGGATAGGTTAAAAACTTTATTTCTTCTCGCACGTTTTTTAATTGCTTCCATTTTTGAAATTTTTTGTATTCCTTTTCATAAGTTATTCGGGATTTATTTTGAAAAAAACAACAAATGGGTATAGAAGGTACGATAACACAGGATATAGAGAAAAAGCAGCTGATCTGGTACGGACATGTAGAGCGAATGAAGGACACTAGATGACCCAAGAAAATAATCAATTGGCAACCAAAGGGCAGAAGAAAACAGGGAAGACCAAAAGTGGAATGGCAAAAAAGCGTACACAAAGCGATGAGTGAAAGAAACCTGTCAACAGAGGATTGTACGAATAGAACAGGCTGGAAATTGGGTATCGGACAACGTAGAAAAACGTTCTAAACCGACTAATATATATATATATATATATATATACATATATATATATATATATATATATATATATATATATATATATATATATATATATATATATATATATATATATATATATATATATATATATATATATATATATATATATATATATATATATATATATATATATATATATATATATATATATATATATATATATATATATATATATATATATATATATATATATATATATATATATATATATATATATATATATATATATATATATATATATATATATATATATATACATATTCGGGATTTAAATGGAAGTAGTTTGGATATGGCGTTTGTCGCCTTAGCCTGAATATCTGTTGGTAATTTACTTATTTCGTTTTGAGCCAATTCTGGCTCCAATTCAATCAGCAATCGACACGAAAGAGAATTAAAAAATATTGACTCAAAACTGACAACTAAAGAGACAGCTTTATTTATTTGTCAAATCACATAGAAACCAACACCAACCCAGCACTATATTTTCCCTACTCGTAATAAATTCCTTGAAATAATAAATTCTGAATATTTTGTAAAACGTAACTCGCTATGGAAAAAAAATATTGTTTTATACACGACGATAAAATTGCATTATCGTCTCCCGAAATTAATTCACTCGCGATTTCATTGCTCGTGAATTGGTTTTATTGGGTTTATTGTGTAGATTTTCTTCTAGTGGTGAAAAAAAAACAGAAAACTATGATATCTAAAAGAGTTCTATGATAATATGAATAAATCAACAAAAGAGATATTTTTCAATTTTCCGTAACTTTTAACCAGAAATATCTTTAAAATAATTTAAAATTTCTCGAAAAATATTTATTTTTATGTTATGAAAGATACTCTTTAATAGTTAGCCAATAAAAAGTTAGCCAACAATAGTTTTTCAATACATTGCGAGAGTAGGTAAAGTAAAAGAAAAAAACCTCTGAAAAATACCGAGACAAAAGAGAAATCGCGGCAACCGCGCCACGAGGATATATTTCTAATTCTCCTCCAGTCTGTTTTTCTCGGAAAATTCTCTCGGGTAAAGGTCGCCCAGCTTTTCCGAGACTTTTTCACACCGTTTGTCTTCCAGGACAGTTCCCGCTCTTTCCTTCTACAAGCTCGTTTTAAGTGTTTCACGCTAGTCTCTCAGATCCGCGCGATAATCAAACTGGTTTAAGATGGTGCACTGTTATTTTGTATATTTTTTCTATAGGAACTGTTAAAATTGCCTTATATCTATCAAAAATAGTAGATAAAATAGTACTTTAACCGCAAGGGTGGATTAAATGATACTTTAACAGCGAGGATAGGGTAAAAACTTTATTTCTTCTAGCACGTTTTTTAATTGCTTCCATTTTTGAAAATTTTTGTATTTCTTTTCATAAGTTATCCAGGATTCAAATGGAAGTAGTTTGGATATGGCGTTTGTCGGCTCAGCCTAAATATCTGTTGGTAATTTACTTATTTCGTTTTGAGCTATTTCTGCCTCCAATTCAATAAGCAATCGACACGAAACAGAATTAAAAAATATTGACTCAAAACTGACAACTAAAGAGACAGCTTTATTTATTTGTCAAATTACATAGAAACCAACGCCAACCCAGCACAATATTTTTTCTACTCGTAATAAATTCCTTCAAATAATAATTTCTGAATATTTTTTAAAACGTAACAATACGACAATAAAATACCATTTTATCTTTTACTTTTGTGCTTAGGCGTTAAAGTGCTTTACTTTAATGCCTAGGAGTTAAAATGACTTCTTTATATTGTCAATCATGTCGCAAAAATTAACATTTTTGTCTTCTACAGTCCAATTGTAGCCCTTACAAAAAATTATACACTTTACAAAACCCTTAACAATTAAAATTGAAATATTTAAAA